TCGAAAAAGGAGGGACCGCTCAGCCCTTACAACAAGACAAAGACGAGCTTTACATCAGAAGTTTAGCCAGCAGATCAACGCTGTTGTCTTCGAGGAAATAAAGAATCCGCAAAGCGCATAGAAAGACCAATCCGCATTAGAAGAATATAATGATTACTATACAGATACTGAATGTGTAAATACTCGACAAGTAATTTTACAGGATTACTTCGCACATAAATTTATGTGAAAGTTCTCCAACGTTTCGGATCATGCTCGATCTCTCTTCAGGGAGCGAAATATTACAGATGTGATGTTGCAGTAATCGTACAGTACTTGTCGAGTGTTGAATGAAATTCCCGCATAAAAGAATGCACCTCCTTGCATATGGAGTATTGTATTTCATGTTGGCAGTTGTTACCTTTATGTGCGCTATGCTTACTAGTAAAGCGTTGTGACCAGATTCCGCATCTTGTTTGCTAGAAACCCCCAGCCAGTAGTTAATGGTTCTTTAACATTATTTTTCATTATTCTTACGAAACTAACTTTAGCAAAACCTTTTTCATTTGTGACTGCCGTAATGCATTTTCACTACAGGTATGATCAGACCAAAGATTACAATCACTTCTGCACAATTAGCAGGTAAAATCTGGACTTTAACGTGTTCTAATACACATGTCAAACTGTGCCGAACAATCATCAATTAAGATTTTTCGGTTCTGCTTTTTTCTTTACGTATCCAGATTTTTTGACCACTCGTTAAATACTGCTTGTGTCATACAAACACGTTTGTTTGCACAATAATCGCACGAAGTGGTCGAATATTCTTAAAATGTTGTGGACTGACACACCTTCCTATAATCAAGAGTTTCAGTTTTTCTGTTCTGGAAGCGTTACAGAAAAACAAGACAGTTAAACGTTGTTCAGATTTCTTGCCACATCTGCATCGATCGACTTGAGTGTACAATGAGGAGTAACTGATAGAATATCCCAGTTATGAGAAGAAACTGTGTGTTCTAGAACTATAAATTTAATGCATATCAATTCCATTCTGGCGATACCTGAGGCATGGCAGTGCTCCAAAACTGCGCAGATTATACTATATGAAGTGTGCACAATAGCATACATTCATTCTTCTAATCGTGTTAACATTTCACAAAAAACCTTCCTGGTAGTTTCCTTCTTTTCGATGAATGTGTAAGTGTTTTTACCTGGTTTTATATTTTGGAGCAGTAATTCACTACAGCATCCAACTCATAGAGCAGTAACAACCTAGATATGAATTTTGGGAACTTATACTGCCACCAGAAAAGAGGACATGGAATCAAGGCGAAAAGCTTATACTGATACGCTTTAATACATATATAACAGCTGTCAAGAGCACAATTTATCTCTGCAGTAGACCCTGTTATCTTCTGTTTCATTTCCGTTGTTGTCTTTTCTCCGAAAGCAGGTTGGTCTTTCTATAGCTGCGGACAGTTTGTTGCGGGCAGTTTTATAGTTGCGGACAGTTAGTTCATCTTCGATAGCCCTTACCAGGAAGTCAGCCATTTATAGAATTACCCGGCCTTTGCATCGTCGACGAATTATCATGATCTCACCGCCCCAGCGATGTGCAGAGTTGCCACCGCCCTGCTGTTTGACCTCGACCAGAGGTGCATGTCCTCGTGGAATTTCCATAAATGTATAAAAGGAGGATCTTTCATCGGTATCCTTAATAACACTTGGCAGATCAGGTCATTCCTGTTATCGAGAAACGTCTCAAGGTCTCGGATCGTCCGCAGAACCACTAAAATCGTCCGTCATGATAGTTCGACTTCACAAACGTAGTGCCTCACCTTCTACTGGTCCCTACTTCCGCTCTTCTCCACAGAGTTCTTTGTGAATCAGGGCTGTGAGAGAACAGGACATGGAATCAATGTGAAAAGCTTTAAGACGCTTTTATATACAGGCAATAGCTACCAGAAGTACAATTTCTCCTCCTGCGATACCATTATTTTCTCTCCCATTTTTATCACCATTTCTCCTCCCAACGCAGACTGATCCTTTTATAGTTGCTGAACCTTTGTTCATCTATTAAAACCAATCCAGAGGCAATTCCGGTAAAAAAATACCGAAAAAAGTTCATTAAATCACAGGTATCTTCATCCTTCCGCTAGAGGGGGCGAGCGCTTCCATTTGAGGTGACCCACGATTCCGGTAGTTTGCGTTGACGCCTTTGCCAAATTGCTGCCGGTCGTCGCTAACTGACTGCAATATTACAACAACAATATTCCCAATTTTATAGCACAACAACAAATTGAACAAATTAAGCAGCATACCGACATTTAGATCAATGTGAACGAAAACAGAACCACCTATCCAGGTTAAAGTACCGAATGATGCCTGATTTCTGGTCGAGATAGAAGAAAATGGCACAGTGAAGTTAGGTGCCAACCGAAAAACCGAAAGTTCAGATTGCGGCTAACAAGTAATGAAATCAGCTACATTCTGAAGGTGAAGGGGCTCTGAAGCAAAAAAGGGTGAAAAATAAAAATAAGAACTATGAAAAGTAGAGTTGCTGGTTGAGTGAATCATTTTCAAGTGAACAGAGAAATTGGCGGCTTAAATTACACTCCGTTCAGCTGTGTTTCTCCTCTAAGTGCAGCTGGTTTAGTCTGAGGTAACCAACGGGCGCAAAAGCATCGTTGGAGTGGATTCTGACCTCCGACTGGTCAATCACAATCCGTTTTCTGTACAAAGGGCAGTCAACGACAAACGATTCGTATTCACCGCCCTCACCACAGATATTGAAGCCAAACTGTTCGTTCAGCTTAATCAATTCCATAAAAAATTTCTTCACCGGTTTTCCTAGGTGCCTCACAGGAGTCAGGCCAAGCGCTGCAACTTTAATGAAGATCATCTCGAAACTATTGTCGATCATTTTTTTGAGCAACTCCTGTTGGTCCCGCTGCCACAGGTACGACAAGCAGTGCAAATTTAGACGGGCACACACGCTTTCTACACGATTCTTCTGGTACTTCGAAAGTATAGCCCCGACGGACACCGCTGTCGCTCCGACTTCCAGTTTCACTTTCGATAAAAGGTCGAACAGATCTTCGACCTCGTCTTCCGGAATAGGACGATAGTCCTGGTCCAGAGCTACTGATTTTCTTTTTATAATGCCTTGAAACAGCGGCAGGCCAACTGCTTTGGCGACGTAGGCCACTCCATCACACCCCACCGACTGAAACATGTAACTGTCCAGTTCATCGACGCCTAAAGACATAAACAAAATATCTATTAATTACACAGGTTAACAACGTATCTTAATAAGAAACTTGGCCTACATTAAACAATGCGCCCTACATGATACCAGAAGTCTAATGGATATTCAAGAATCTAATAGAAGCGTTGTTCCCAACGGCCTAAGACAAGACGCTGCAACCATTACCGGTATACTGGTGGACACAGTGGTAGACAATTTACAGTAAACTACCCATAACAGTGCCAACGACGCACAATTACTGAAGATCTTATGAATCCACCCGAATCGAAGAGATGATCCCTGGACTTGAAAACGAAAAATGTTTTAATATTAAGAATGGAAAATGTTTTACAATGTCTTACCTGACTCTAGCATAGAGTACCGAAGCCCATCAGTTAACAGTCACTTCTATACGCAACAGCTTGAGTAGCTTAACAGGTAAATGTGAGTGAGCGAACCACCTGTTACAAAATTAGCTTATCAACTCCCAATCGAAAGATTTCTAATTTTTATTGTACAAATACACGATTGTTTAGATCAAGTATCTACGTGCTAGAGTAACAACAGGTATTACTGATAGACTTTACTGGAAAAGTCAGACTAAACCATGGTATAAGTTCAGAAACATCGAGCGGAAAACAAAAAGGGATGGGCAGTGGAAGCAAAGGGGCCTTCTTGATATTCAGAACACTTTCTATTGATCATTTCTGACGAAACTTACAGCGCTATGAGGAATATTTGTTAGACATCGTTACATGACTGGAACAGAGGTTACATACACTTCGTACTGATTATCACACTGTACAATCAGATAACCTGTGGGTCATGGCGAATACCAGCGATCACCGCACAACACGACCGCAGCTATCGCTTTTCTGGCACGACCATGCTAACGCATCACGGTGTTCCTGTTGTTCACAAATAATCGATTTGCTACAGGTCTCCCAGGAGGCTTATAAACATAAAAGTCTACTAGTTTATAACGTTTCGTAATTTATATCTGACGTACAGGTACTGGCGTATAAACACTACTAAATCCGAACTTCAAATATGCAGAACTCGTGTTTCTGATTGTAGATTTATTCCTATTTCGAATCTTTCGACCAGCTGCCAACTGCTTTATTTGATTATTTAATTACTTTAAAGTATGATAAAGTGACAAATTATTACTAGAAACTTATTCCTCTACCCAAACTTGCAGGAAAAAGTGCTTATTTAATTGACGTACCATCCAGCAAATGTAAGGAAATGTCATTATAATGAATTGTTTTGATTACTACAACAGCGAAAAAGCTTTTAACTCAATGTCACAAATATGTACTTTACGCTAAAGAATTTCTTATGAATATTCTCACTTGAGTTTCCATCACAATTACAGCAAGCTTTATTTCAACCATAATTAACAAAAATGCACTAAACTGACATGCAATTATATCTTAAAATTAGTAACTTTCTGAATTGCAGATGTAAAATACTTCTATGGCGGGTTTTTCAATTTAAAAAATATGAGATATGAATTCTTTATGCGAGCAAACAGTTCTTCATTGCCAAAATCTTGCATTACTCCCTTAAAGATGGGCAGCTCGATCTTAAACGATGGGATCACCGTTTACACGCAGAGTAAACCCCGTTAAGATTCTACGTGATGGTGGATTTTTCAAGCATATAAAAGGAGGACCGAATGGTAATCCAGTTTCCGGTGACGCAAACGACACAACAGTGATACTTACCAGAAATGGTTCGACATGAAGGTGTAAGGAAGCCGACATTTTAACAGTTACAAACATTCCTTTACTTCCGTTTTCTGGGACGAAGAAAACACAAAGCCTCAAAATGTTCGCTCTACGTTTAATCTATACATTTAATCGACATGAGAGCCTTGTATCTATTAGTCGTAATAAAAAAGAGCAGTATTCTAAAGGCGTGGTCGAAAGAGGTACGAAAATGATTGCTGGTAGAGTAGTGCTAGTGAAAAATTTTATTCACACTGTAAGATTTGCTGAATTGCTGTTGCTCATAATTTCAGTTAAACAACTACGCTAAGCAACAATATGAATAAGTATTACAACTTATCATATAAATATTGCATGCATGTTACCTGCAGGCGGTTTCAAGTTAGCAACAGCTACCAACTGATGACCACTTTCGGCACACATCCACAAATTATAAAGGCTGTCCTTGCCACCAGTGATCAATCCGATTACCTTCATTTACTAACGGCGCGGTAGGTAAAATTTCTAAAATAAGTTGAAAATAAATTAAATGAAAATGAACGAAGAAACACGCTATGAAAAATCGATCAAAACTAACGTGTTCTTACAAGGTTTCTTTCTTTGTCTATAATAAGCCATCAGCAATTTCGTAAGAATAGTGAAAACCATCAGCTTCATCTCTAATACGAGAGAACAATTTCCAGGTGCAATAAAAGTTTAAGTAGATTTTCATTCATCTGCGCACCGATGATTGCAGCGAAAAAGCAAGAACGTCTGTAAACACCGCCGAAATAGGATTCCCAAAGAACGTCGAGGGCTTGTTACCTATCTCGGCATATTCACAGATCAGCGATTCATAAACTTCTTGGAAAACAACTGCAATTTGTCGAGGCTGAAAAGTCGCAACTAGGATATACAGTGAATATCCTGCGAATCTCGTTACAGAGGTCACCCAAACAGAACAACCTTGCTCAACCGACAGGAAGACCCCGACCAAAATTAAATACATCTGAAAGGGTATGAATAAATTTTGTTTAAGAGTCGAGACGTCTCATGTCGATGCTCAGGCACGGGAAAAATATCATCAGATTTGTTAGATTGTGATATGACAAAAAATTACACCGCATGTACCAGATGCATGTCAGTCGGTCAAACAAGTCAGTCAATCAGTTTAGATCACCCCTTGTCATTTAGGGTGGCAGTAGACCAGTCATACAGTGCGCATAACGCACCATCTCCCGTGTCAGAGGTCAAAGGCGGCGTCTGCAGCAGATTCCTTCGAAACACCTGCCGCAGGTTATTTTTGATTCCTCATGAGTTTCCGATCGGTTGGCTGAGCGAGTAATAAATGCTTCGCCTTCCTTCTTTATTTCCTTGCTATTCGCAACACGTCTAGAAACCGTCGCACATATGACTTCTCAACGATTAGCTTTCTCTAATATCTGTACTCCGAGACGCATCAGCTAATTGATTTCCTCAGAACGCCTATTTCAACTGCTTGTAGTCTGTAATGTCTTGTTTCTGTAGAGATGCATAC